AAAGTTAACTTTTTTTTTTTTTTTCCTTTTTGTCTCTTTTTTTCGTGTCCTGCAACGGATCGCAACCCTCAGTGTCGCGCCCGTACCGGACCGGGACCGGCAACGGGATCGCAACCCTCGGTGTCGCGCCCGCACCTCGCTCAGCCAGTGAGCGGGAACCAGTCTGTATGTGGGATCCGAACCCTCGGTGGGAGCGCCACTGCACTCCCAAGCGGCGCACTGTAGCAGTGCGCCACTGGGCCGGCCCTAACAAACCTTTTCAAGTACCCTGGTAGAATGAGGGGGAGGCTAACAAACCTTTTCTTTTCTTTTTTTTTTTTTTTTTCCTTTTTGTCTCTTTTTTTCGTGTCCGGCAACGGATCGCAACCCTCAGTGTCGCGCCCGTACCGGACCGGGACCGGCAACGGGATCGCAACCCTCGGTGTCGCGCCCGCACCTCGCTCAGCCAGTGAGCGGGAACCAGTCTGTATGTGGGATCCGAACCCTCGGCGGGAGCGCCACCGCACTCCCAAGCGGCGCACTGTAGCAGTGCGCCACTGGGCCGGCCCTAACAAACCTTTTCAAGTACCCTGGTAGAATGAGGGGGAGGCTAACAAACCTTTTCTTTTCTTTTTTTTTTTTTTTTTCCTTTTTGTCTCTTTTTTTCATGTCCGGCAACGGATTGCAACCCTCAGTGTCGCGCCCGTACCGGACCGGGACCGGCAACGGGATCGCAACCCTCGGTGTCGCGCCCGCACCTCGCTCAGCCAGTGAGCGGGAACCGGTCTGTATGTGGGATCCGAACCCTCGGCGGGAGCGCCACCGCACTCCCAAGCGGCGCACTGTAGCAGTGCGCCACTGGGCCGGCCCTAACAAACCTTTTCAAGTACCCTGGTAGAATGAGGGGGAGGTTAACTTGAACAAAAAGAGCAGTAGAAAGAAACAAGTGAAGTATGGATTCTGAATAAGCAAGCCAAAATAGTCTTGTCAGGATAAGAATGTACATGGACATGCACTCATAGTACGCAGGTGGAGGTTGGAGTTCAGGATTGAAACAAGAAGGGAAGCCGCCGGCAGATCCGTGGGATAAGGGTAAAGGTGGGGCTCAGAGCTGGTGTTGAGTGTTAGGCCAGAACTGCCCCTAGGAAGTCAGAGCACATCCAGGCTGAAGTGCAGGCAGAAAATGACTGCTGAGCCCAGGACAGGAACTGCCTGGCCGCTGCCCTGGTTATTGAAAAGTCTTGCTTTGGTGGAAAAGGATTGGCAAATTTTTCTGTAATCTCCAGAGTGGAGACTAGGATCCATAGATGTATGTGACGGGTTGTTGCTCCATGGCCAGAGAACTAAGTGCTCCTGGAGGTCTGGCGAGTTAGAGTGTTCCTTTCCATCAACTGAGTGCCTACCATGTATGATAAACTCGGCCTAATACTGGGGAAAACACAAAGAAGTGTGAAGTATGAACTGTAGCTCTTACCACCAGAACATAGCCTGGTTAGAAACATGACCTAAATATGTAAATAGTTAAACAGCACAAAAGACAAATAATTCAACAAAGGAAGAGATTTTATAAGTCAGGAACATAATTTGTGGCCAAATGGATGACACATATGGTAAGTGCCATGGGAGCAGACAGTTGGCAGTGATCATTGTGGGTTGGAGTGGTCCGGAAAGAGCGATCGGAACTAACTAGTCTTTGGATAAGTTGAGAGAAGCAGGGAAGGCATGCCAGATGAGTGAGAGTAAAGGTAGGAAATGTAAGGTACATTCCAGAAACAAAAAGTGGACCAGCTTAATTAAAGCTGAGGTTTCAGGAAGGTTAATAGTTGTAGCTGAAGCCAATGATACAGTTGGAATCAAAATGTAAAGGTGTAGGGCCGGCCCGGTGGCGCACTGGAGAGCGCGCTGCTTGGGAGTGCGGTGGTGCTCCCGCCGAGGGTTCGGATCCCACATAGAGACCGGTTCCCGCTCACTGGCTGAGCGAGGTGCGGGCGCGACACCGAGGGTTGCGATCCCGTTGCCGGTCCCCGGTACAGGCGTGACACCGAGGGTTGCGATCCCGTTACCGGTCAGTAAAAAAGACAAAAAGAAAAAAAAAATGTAAAGGTGTTAAGAAATTGAGTCCTCAACTTTAACTCCTAGACACTAAGGAGTAATTGAAAGTTTTTGGACAGAGGAGTAATATGCTTAGAGATGTTTTAGGAAGATTAATCTAGTGGCCAAATATAAGCAAATTAAAGGGAGAAAGAGTACTCAAGTAGACCAGGTGTCTGCGTTTGCCTTAGTCCTACTATGTAGTGGTAAGTGCTTCAACTATGAAAATCGCAGCAAGAACAGAAATAAAAGAATTGTATGCAAGAAACATTTTGAAGAAAGGAGAAATTAATAAGACTTAATAACTTCTTGTCTATGGAGATAAAGAAGAATCATCAAAAAATAAATCCACAGTTTGGGAGCCAAGTGACTAGAAGAATATTTTATGAACGGAAATGGAGATTTTAGGATGGAGGGTGAGATGGCTAGATTTTTAGGAAAAAATGAGAAGTTCAGCTCTGAAAGATCCTATTTGATTTTGCAGCAGGAGACAGAAATATATTACTAGAACATGTGAGGGAGAGTGCAGCCTGTGATAAACATGTAGGAGTTGCCTGCATGTAGATGACAGCTTAACCTGTTTGAATAGATGGTATCTTCCAGAGGGAACAGAGTCAAAACGTTGGAAATGCCAACATTTTAAAGAAGAAAGAAGAAGAGGAACCACCCAAGCACAGTGTGCAATCAAACATGGGGAGGAGGAGGTTACAGATTCCCATAGTCCAGATAAGAACGTGAAGAAGGAAGGTGTGGTCAGCAGTATCAGATGTTGCAGAGAGGTTAAGGAGAACAGGGGCTGAAAAAAGGCCATTGAATCAGGCAATTCGGAAGTCATTCACTTTTAAGAACACAGGCCTATAGCATATGACTGTGTGTGGGGAGATGGATTAAGAGTGAACACTGAAGAACAAGGAGCATAAACCATTGATTACAGGTGAGAAGAGGGAGAGAATTGCGAGCGGGGAATGCGGCTGTTACTCTTTGCCTTCCAAGTTTGTGTGTGCACACACATGGGAAGGGAGAAGGAAAAGGTCAAGTCATTGATTCATTGGGCCAGTCTTTATTAAGTACTTACTTAGAACATGGATCCAATTAACAGGGAGAAATTGAAAGCTGCAAGAGAAAGAGAGCCATGGAGGAAGTAGAGTTCAGGAGACAATGGGAGAACATGGATCACTAGAATAGGGGGACTCAGTGTTGGAAAGGAGAAGCACCTCCTCCTCTGAGACTGGAGAGAAGGAACAGAGGGTGGAGGTTGTATGTAGGTTCAGGAAAGTTTTGAAATGAGGAGAGGAATGAAGGAGGAAAGTCGCTGACCTCAGGCTCCTGGACAAAGGGGAAGGTGGGTTGTCTCCTGAGGGAGGATGGACCATTGTGATGGGTGGCCAGGTGAAAAGATACTCAGTGACCAGGGTGGGTAATGCCAGGGTTCAGGGACACAAGCACCACTGGTGCTTGACAGAAGCCCCACTTGACTACAGCCTAGAAGATGGGCAGTGTTTGTTTCTACTTTTACCTTTATGAACTTATCCTTCCTTATCACCTTATTTTTTTTTTCCAAAATATATTTTCTATGAGTTTTTGTTTGTTTTCAGTATCACCATAATTATAAATTGTACAACTATTCCAGAGTAATGGCCTTGTAGATTTCTGAGGTTATCTAAATTGTGGATGAGATGTTGGTATGAAATGGTAGCACTTTCTAGAGACATTTACTGATAACACGGATTTAGCAGAAAAAGCGAGTCACTAGAACCCATGAATTGTGTTATCCACTTCCCACCAAAAAGGCTGATATATAGAATGTTTTAGGCTATCTAAATAAATGAAAACTTCAGACCAGCTGTTGATCCACTCAACCCTACAGAATTCATTTAAGATGACTAAGACACTGGGTGGTAATTATGGTTCATCCAAAATCCAGGACGTCACGAGTAGCCTTTGATGGGGCCTTTGTTGGACGATGTTTCCTCAAAAGAGTGAACCTGACAGTTGGGGTCTGTTGACAACGCTGAGCTGATAGTGTGGGGCAACTCAGTGCACAGCAGTTAACTGGACCACCTGATACAGTCTCCAGGGTCAGTAGGACGCAACCCAGTGAGAATTGAGGAAGAGTCAGTTTCTGTCACAAATAATATTTATAAAAAACAAATGATCAACTAAGTCCTGATATCCTAATTCCATATCTGAACCTTGACTCTACTGCTGGCTATACTAAGGAAGTCTCCCACCCTCCTAATGTTGGCAGGCAGAGCACTGGAACACCTGGTTCCACAAACTGAATGGCCAGAATGTGCTTCTGGGTGGAACAGATTCACTTGTTCAACCTTGTTTTGAAGCGAGAGGAGAGTCTTTTATGTGACCCAAGCCACTGATCAGAACTGAGATGGATCCATTGATTTCATTCATGCACAGGTGACTCAGACATGTATTTTTCCTTTTCCTTCTCTTTTTCTCGTAGGTATGGCCTCACATGTGCAAGTTTTCTCCCCTCACACCCTTCAATCAAGTGCCTTCTGTAGCGTGAAGAAACTGAAAGTAGAGCCGAGTTCCAACTGGGACATGACTGGGTACGGCTCCCACAGCAAAGTGTACAGCCAGAGCAAGAACGCACCACCTTCTCAGCCAGCCACCACAACCGTCAGCACCTCCTTGCCAATCCCAAACCCAAGCCTACCTTACGAGCAGACCATCATCTTCCCAGGAAGCACCGGGCACATAGTTGTAACATCAGCAAGCAGCACTTCTGTCACTGGGCAAGTCCTTGGTGGACCACATAACCTAATGCGTCGAAGCACTGTGAGCCTTCTTGATACCTACCAAAAATGTGGACTCAAGCGTAAGAGTGAAGAGATTGAGAACACGAGCAGCGTGCAGATCATCGAAGAGCATCCACCCATGATTCAGAATAATGCAAGTGGGGCCACTGTAGCCACTGCCACCACATCAACTGCCACCTCCAAAAACAGTGGCTCCAACAGTGAGGGTGATTATCAGCTGGTCCAGCATGAAGTGCTGTGCTCCATGACCAACACTTACGAAGTTTTAGAGTTCTTGGGCCGAGGGACGTTTGGGCAAGTGGTCAAGTGCTGGAAACGGGGCACCAACGAGATTGTGGCCATCAAGATCCTGAAGAACCACCCGTCGTACGCCCGGCAAGGTCAGATTGAAGTGAGCATCCTGGCCCGATTGAGCACGGAGAGTGCCGATGACTACAACTTCGTCCGGGCCTATGAATGCTTCCAGCACAAGAACCACACGTGCTTGGTCTTTGAGATGCTGGAGCAGAACCTCTATGACTTTCTGAAGCAGAACAAGTTCAGCCCCTTGCCCCTCAAATACATTCGCCCAGTCCTTCAGCAGGTAGCCACGGCCCTGATGAAACTCAAAAGCCTGGGTCTTATCCATGCTGACCTCAAACCGGAGAACATCATGCTGGTGGATCCATCTAGACAACCATACAGAGTAAAGGTCATCGACTTTGGTTCAGCCAGTCACGTGTCCAAGGCTGTGTGCTCCACCTACCTGCAGTCCAGATACTACAGGTAAGACTGGGAAAGTTAGGGGATGCCGAATGCTCAGTGGCACAGAGAAAAAAATTCTGTGCCAGCAGCTGCTGCCCTCGCATGATCTTAGATCAGGACATGTGCACATTGAAATGGCAATTGTGAAGGCACGTAAGAATAGAGCCAAGTAAGATCCTTGGTATAGATGTTCAGAGTAGGAAGGGATCCTACCAGGTGAAGAGCAAAAGCAGAGCAGAGGACTTCAGTCCTCAGGGGTAGGTGGGGTCCAGACAGGTGGAGGAAAGGAAGGGACGTTCTGTCCAGAGTCACACTAGTAGGAATGTGCAAGATGCATTCAGGAGGCAGGGAGAACACCTGCCTGGCCAGACAGAGAATTTGTGAGTAGTGGGGGATGTGATGGGAAGGATAGATTGGGACCAGGTTGTTGGGAGTCTTAAACACCAGACTAAGGAATTATAACTGTTTCCTTAAGCCTGGAACAAGCACCAGAAACTTTGAACAACACAGAACAACAGGATGAAAGCCATGTTCTGAGATTACTGCTCAATCCACATGGAAAAGGGCTGCTGGAAGGGAGAGATGTCGTATTGGGGCTCTCTCCTGTGATGAGATAATGTCAGGCTTTGAGTCAGGAAGGTGAAAGAACTTCCTGACCCAAAGGGAAGTGTAAGGCTCCGTCATTCCACAGCAGTCATTTTGCTTCTAGCCTAGGTCAGTCATAGAGCCAGCCATAGGGGTAAGTCAGGCCCTTGCCATCCTGCAGTCCCTGGCACACTGCTGCTCAACTCTGGCTACACAGTAAAACCACCTGGGGAGCTTTAAAAAATAACCTTACTTGGGTCCCAGTCCCCACAAACCAAACCCACATCTCTGGGGTGGGGTCCGGCACGAGTATTTTCTAACAGCTTTCCTGGGGTGCAGTGAGGAGTGAGACCTCTTGCTCCAGACTGAGATGAGAGCTCTGGCTTTGGAGCCAGGAAAACATGGGGTTGAGCCTGATCCCTCTGCTCACTAAGCTGTGTGACTTGGGCTGATGGCCCACTTCTCTGCACTTCATTTCCTAAGCCTGACGCTGGGGGGATCCTATCACCTGCCCTGCAGGCGTGCTGGTGATTGAGTGCTGTCACAGGGCTGAGACACCTCACTCGGCGGCCAGCCCCGCAGTGGGTGCACAAGGAGGGGTGGGTAGAGATGGGAAGCAAGAGCCTCAGTTTTTTGGAAATAGCAATGGGGCTATGTTTGAAATAATATTGAACAGTCCAGTGAAAGCAGAATTTGACCAGAAAGGAAACACAGACTGCCATGAGAAGATAGGACTGGTACACTTAAGATCCCATGACTCCTTTCTGCCTGAGACTTTCTGCCCTGACACTACGCTTCCTTCGAGGCCACAGAGAAAGCCTAGAAAATGGGCAAGAGCCAACACAGCTGACCTGATACCCATTCCCGGAGCTGACCTCCACGGGCCCCTCCGCTTACGCCTGCTTGTCACTGTTTGCCCCTGCCCTGGGCCCCCAGCCCAGTTGCCCACAGAGCTGCTGTGATCCCCTCACTCTCACTCTCTTACATCCTGTCCCTGCCGCCCAGCCCTCAGCCTGCCTGGCCGGGCCCCTCCGCTTACGCCTGCTTGTCACTGTTTGCCCCTGCCCTGGGCCCCCAGCCCAGTTGCCCACAGAGCTGCTGCGATCCCCTCACTCTCACTCTCTTACATCCTGTCCCTGCCGCCCAGCCCTCAGCCTGCCTGGCCTCACCCCTCTTCCCTGGGAAAGCAGTAGCCACAAGACTCGGGTCCCCAGGTCCTCCTCTCACTTCCTTCCCTGTCTCCTTTCATCTCAATCCTGACTCAGATGAGAGGGTTCAAGGCTTCTCCACTGGTGCTGTTTCTCACTCTTCTCTCCCCCTACCTTTAGCAGGCATTTGCAGAGTTAGATAGAGCACCTCTCCACTAGCACTTAAATCTGTCCTCCACGGTTCCTTCCTCACTAAGTGCAGACGCACATGCAGCTCCCCATCTCAGGAAGTATCTCCATGGGCCTCCGCTTTCCCTGCCAGGCTCCCGGAGGTGGTGGATCTACTTCTGTGGACTCCTCTGCTCTCTGCTCCCTCTCTGCTAGGCCTTTGCCATCGGCTCTTTGTTTCTGCTGCTCTAAAGGAGCTGCTCTGCTGGCTAAGAGCTCATCAGTGCCACATGGAGGGGAGCAGTGAGCCTAGGGCTGGCCAGCTCCAGTGGCACCGTTGTGGGTCACCAGCCCGCCTGAGGGGTGGCTGGTGCTGTGGCTACTAGCTCTCTGCTGACAACAGATGGAGGCTGCTGTTGTCACTTTATATTTAGGTCCATAAATTCAGCATGCCAAAGGCTATTTCTTCCTAGATCTTGGCTTCAATTTAGGGTGAACTGCAGCCAAGACAGGGGCTGCTTGGGGCTTTTTTATTTAGTTAACCTGAATTGCTGTTTAGTGAACAAGATACCAGTGTCATTAAAGTTCACTAAAATTAAGCACGACGACTTGAAAAAGACTTTAAAACTATTTAAAAGGCAGTGCATGCTTAGAGCAACACACGATGCATCGAGTAAGCTGAATTTGGGATTCCTAAGCCCCTTTGCATTCTCACCTTCTTGTGCCGTGTGACACTTCCCACTCCTCCCACTCCCCGGCCCCTGCCCAGGGACTCTGCAGTTTTACTTTGTTTTCGTGTCTGCCCCTGGTGCTGGGGAGATTGAGGTCACAAAACTTGGGACTCTAGCTCAGGAAGTCTGTGGGTGTCAGTAGACGTTTGCCTGTGATTACTGGAGGGAAGATCTTTTAACTGGACTTCTAAAGATCCTTGCCTTTTGGCAGCACCTCTGGTGGCATTGAAGGCTGGCGTCCCCAGGCCTCCTGTGCTCTCTGCTCCCCTCTTTCACTTCCCAACTGGCACAGCCACACCCACCTCTGCACCCCCATGTCCCTCTGAAAGGCCCTCCCTTTGGGTGTGATAGCACCGTTTCTTTACCCCTTAAGTGACCATTGCCTGCAATTCTGAGCAGGCTGACCTCTTCCTCTTCGTGATTGCCTGTGGCCTTCAGGTCCTCGTGGTCGGCCTCCCTGTGCACAGCTATAGTTTCAGGGCACAGTCAATCTGAAAGGCAGCCCAGCCCTTCTGCCTGAAAAGATGCTTCATTTCTAAATTGGTCACAATGTTCTGTTTCTCCCCCAGGCCTGGTTTGCCACCATGCAGATCAATATGAGTGTCTGAGGACAGTCTTCAGCTCTTTGTCTCCATCAGCCCTGGCTGTGTGGCTCAGCCAACTCTAGCCCACATTTATCAAGCTGATTTTCCTGATTGCTTTGCCTCTTATGGGTTATGGGGGGAGAATGGGGCCAAGTAAAACGCTTTATCTGTACATTGTTAAGGCCCATGTCCTAGAAGGAAGAAACTTTCAGCTACATCTTGAGAGAATGTGTGTTTGAGCTACTGGGACAGAGAAGTCATCACATGCTGCAGAGCCAGCCTTCCGGCAGGGCATGTTTCCCCCCAAGGTTCCCCTGTAGCTGAGCTGGGCATATTATCCCAGGGGAGAACATTGACATGTCCCTTCGTCATTTTAAATGGGACTGTGTTAAGTCTCTCATCCCACCATTGTCCCCGCCAAGTGACATGGAAACAGCATGATATAAAGAGATGTTCCTGTCCTCAGCCTGGAGACTTGGAAAAGGAGGTGGTGTTCCCGGAGCCAACTCTTCTCCAGCTATTAGGCATTTGCTTGGCTGAGATTGGGAGCATATTGCTGTTGGTATTCTGTGAAGCAAGCCTGATGGTGTGTTTTTCAGGAAACAGAGGCTGCTTTTTTAGTTTTTTTCAGTCCGATGCAGGGGTATCCCCTTCCAACTTGACCTTCCACCTTGAAGGTCAGTTACATAGTTAACTGTCAACTGGGTTGGTTCTCAAGCTCTATTGTGCATAAGAATCACCTGGAAAACTTAAGAATAGATTTCTGCCAGTTTTGTACCTACTGCACCAGAATCTCCAGGGTAGTTTGTCCCCTGCCCTCCACAACATGTCCACTCTCCACCCCACAGATTTGCCTTGGGGAATTGGAGGTGAGATGGTGCAGTGGTCTTAGGACCACTCTTTGAGAAACATTGCTCTGGGAGAGAGAAAGGGATTTCCTTGATGGTGTCACCTTTCAGCTATTCACACCCAAAGGAACAGAGTTGCAGGTAATCCTGTTTACTTGTATTACCTCACCTTGGGAGTCCCTGCCATTTCCTTATTTAATTCTACATTGATGCCAGGTTATTTTGTTTTTTTTTTCTTTTTGAGCATGCAGTAAATTGGTGCTGGGGTATTTCCACTATCGGCATGACCAGCAAACTAAAAACAAGACCAAATATTAAATTCTTCTTTCAGGAAAAATACAAACAAAAAGTCATGCCATTCAGGCAAAGGATAGTCAGTGAATAGAAGGTGCAGATTTTTTGTCTGTGCTTTGGGCTACTCAAAAAATTCTTGTCTAGACTTTTTGGGGGGAGCAGGGGGAGGGCAGCCAGCCATAAAATATTCTTGTCTAGAGTTTTTTGAGACAATTAAGACCATTACTGGGACCCCAGAAACGAGCATAAGAAATTAGGACATTAAAAAAAAGCCAGGAATCTACCTTTTTAGAATAATATAATCTTTTTTTGTCTGATTCTTTTGGGTACAGAGACTGTGTTCAATCCCTTGGTGGTTTTAGGTAGGGGTGGAGATTAATTTTAATTCTGTTCAATTCATTAAACATTCATTAGTTACCTACTAAGTGTTCTGTGGTTGAAACATACAAGGGTCCAGAAGGTAAGGCATGAACTCTAATCTTGAGGAGTTCACAATCTTTGAAAAGATGAGAAACACAAATAAGCTGCCTAAAGTGTAATTCTGATGCTTTGCTACTGCAAATTTTGGTTATTCAACAGATATTTATTACAAACCTACCGTGTGCCAGACTCTAGGGAAACCAGTTCAAGAAAGTCAAAGTCAGCGAAAGATTTTAGAGGGAA